CAGGAACATTAACATACTTTTCAGGACAGCATTTCTACCATAGAACATCTCTTTTATATTGGTCTTATATATTATTAAAATGTTCTGAGATGCTGTATTTTGGCTTTCATTTAATCATCAAGATTAAAACAAATAAAAGCTGGAAATAATTCACTTTGTGTGTGATGAATCTGTGATGTATACATTTAAACTTTATAAATTGAATTACTGATATAAACTCGCTTTTCGAGGATATTCAATTTATTGAGATGCACCTGTATGAGTCCAAGTACAGATTTAGCGAGGCGGAGAGAGATGCTAAACGACTACTCTGAGAAACTCCAACACCAGTTCTCAGCTAACGACTCTGCAGACAGGTCACAAACTATAAGGCTACGGCCTCACACTCCGTGAACGGCAGACGCCTTGCTAAGCGGCAGTGAAACTACGTTTTAGATCGGCGAGAGTACTAACTCACCTGTTGTCCTGAAACTCTCCAGGGCATCTGGAAAAGCATTTAAAATAAGGAATGGATAAGGGCTGCAAAGTTAACCTGTTAAGCCCGAGAGACCCCGGTTCCGGGGGCCTCCTGCAACATCTTGCAGAAAACAGTGTCTGAGGGCATGTTCATTTAATAAACTATGAATGTTTTATATCCATGTAACGGGAAGAAACTCATCTAACTGATCATTTTAATTTTTTTGTTTTAAAAACCCACAATGCTAACGCTGAGCTTCTGAATTAGCAACGAGCGAAAAATGCTAACAGATGACTGCATCGAAATTCACTCGCAAAACCTTATTATTAATCTTTGCTGCACATCTCAACCCATCGTTTCACATCGTGAGGGGACACAGAATCGATGGGTACCCTCATTATCACTCAATTATACGAATTATTGGAGATGATAACAAGAACACACATCAAAACATATGGAGCTAGTTAGCTAAAAACGGCAAAATGGCTCACCTGTGTGGTAGTCTGGTCAAAAGTGGTCTTCAATGGCATTAAAACTATAAAAACGATTCTGAAGTTAATCCATAGGTTAATCCAATGTGTCTGTCACTTTGAATGATTTCTGATAATCCATGAGAAATAAATCTGCTTTTCGGTTTTGAGATGTCAGACCTAGAGACAGCTTCACTCTGGATCAAAACTGCATATGCGAAGCCCCCATCTTTTCGTTTTACCGTGTGTGTGTGGATTCCCCTTCGATTCTATTGGCTCTAACGGTCAGAAAGAGATGTCACATGTCAAAATCGGAGAAGGGGGGCCAGAGATAAGGAAAATCCACCCAAATGGCCCCAGAAGAGATTGTTTGTGCTAAATCTGTCTAAAAAGGTCAAATGTCACTTGTTTTGCATCAATCTTGATACAGGGTACTTATTATATGTTGTACTTTGGATTCCTAAAGCTTTTAGTCTACTAACCAAGCGGCAAACTCTGGGGAACAGCCGGGACGCCAATATGGAAGTGCCACACACTGCAGTTCATACATGGGCCGCTAGGGACTGGCTGCAGAAAGGAGCAATTTCCATAGACCCCCATGTTAAAATGCCCAACTTTACAGCAGAAAAAAACATGTTTCTACCCATGGATGCAATAAATATTATTGTCGATATAGTTAGATTCCACCTTCATGATTATGAATCTGTGAATGAATTGTTTTCTAACACGACCCTTTTATTTATATTAGGTCTTAAAGTTTTTGCATAAATTAGGGCGTGGTCACATTGAGTGACGGCTCTGTCAAGTGCCTGCCGCTGTTAGCTTCTTGTCTCTCTGCTAGCTGCTCCGTGAAGCTACAGGGACTCTGCCTGCTCAGCTCATCCAGGAAACACAACTTGTATCCGGCCGTGGTTGTTTGTTCTTCATGCTTATATATCGGACTATTGTGACTCGCTCTGCGGTTAAAACAGACGGTGCATGAATGCGGTTTTGCGGTAAGTGAAATTCTAGTGCTTTATTTATGTGTTAATGATTTTAATCAGCTACGTAATGAATGGTAAGGCTTGGGTTAGCATGTAAGCTAGTGGTAGCTACATCGGTGCTAACGATTATAATCGTAGCCTCCAAGTTAAAATCATAGACTGTATATATAAAGGTTACAACGAAATAGACAAGTGTTAAGTGGGATAATACTGTTGAACAAACGGCTTCTGTTTGAGGTTGATAAAATAAGGTTACATCCTTGTAACTTAGAGACATTTTATTATGTAGGTTTTATTATGTATTACGTCGAAGTGGTGTATGTGAAATCAACCTCACAATAAGATATTACAATTATTAATGTCATATTTCAAGATGATTACTTAGATATTACAATATGGTTGGTTGAGCTGGAGTTCATTATTGAGCTTACACGTTAACGTCAGTCATCTGAAGAACGAACCCAAACCTTGTTGTTTTTATTAATTGCATTACCAAATGGGTATCAAATAAACAGTAAGCATTGGTAACACAACTTCCAAAGTTACAGTAAAATAAAAAGGCCCCTGACTCGGACAATACACAATCCAACATGTTCAACAGAAGAGAATCAGTTATATTGTTTGTACACATGGTACTTTACATATATATATATATATATATATATATATATATATATCTGTTTGTTTGTTTAAGGTGTCCAGGTGATGCAGACAGGCTGGACCAGAGAGTGAGAGACAGAACTGGACTCCTCACAGCAGTGAATTTCAGCACAGGTACAAAGACTATTTTTTCATACTGTACAAAGAATCAAGAAAGATATTGGTTTAAATGAATGAAGTATTGACTTGAATACACTGATATATATTCCATTAAACAATACTAAATACTAGATCACCTACACATCAGTTAAGTTGAGGGTTTTTTCCATGCAAAAAGTTACATTTAGATGATAACAAGCAATATGACTTTGTCAGCTTTCTAATTTAATGTATTGAAGGCAAAGATATTTAGCACATAGTGAGAACTGCTACTATTTATCTCTCAATATTGTCTGAAAAAACGTGGTAAAAGTTATTCTTTCAGTGAGACAACAGAGCAAGCTTCTACAGTTGCACTACGTTTTGATAACAGTTACATATTATTTTGATAATAACATATATTTCAATGTTGATGAACTTCATACTGTTCATTCATAATCTGATTGTCTTTGTAGCTCATTGTTGAAATAAAAAAAAAAACATTACAAAATAATTATATCTACAGCCCCTAAACACACAAACACACCGCTTTCATAAATAACACACTTGTTCTGCAATAATATGTTTTATGTTTCCTGTCATTTTTGTTAGGAAAGGACATGCCTGAAAGACAGGACATTTTCTCCTTCTCTGAGGGTCAAGAAGAACATCCAAGAGGAACATTAAAAGCTGATGTTATGAGATTTTAAGACCAGTACAGGACATTCACTAAGAAACTACTTTTATTGTAAAAACAGTCAGCTGATCGAATGCAGCTATTTCCACATCTACACTCCATCAGCTGATTATTTCTATTTGCCAGTCAGTCAGATGTGAATGTGTAATCTAACATTTTCAGTAAGAATAATGGACAAAAGGAGTGCAAATACAAATACAATTTATTGAAATGTGAACCAAAAGTTAATCAAATGTTTTAAATAAAAAGCACATATGGACTGAAGGTGTAAACCTATTAAATGTATTAAACACATTTAGTCAAATAAAGTGACCGACTAGGCCTGTGCAGTTGGTATCAGCTTTGCCCAGCATGGGCTCCTCCATCAGCCCTGGTCCTCCTCGCAGAGGAAAGACCCTCAGTCCTCTCCAAACCAACAGACAGGACATCCATCACACAGAGGTTTCTCCCTGAAGTCTCTGCAGCTCTCTGGACACCACGCTGTCTCAATCCGTCCACACTGAATATGAGATTGGGAAAATGAAAATAATAAATTCTTCAGACAATAAGAAACATAAAGTTGACTGTTGAGTTGCTCAGTTTTTTTAGATTGTCAATACTATTACTGTATAACTAATATATCAGGTTAAGAGGCACATTCAAATAAAGATTGGTCTTTAAATACATTTTGTCTTTTGAATTGTTTGTCTAAAGTCAAGGATCTATAACTGGTACTTAGTTTTAATGATAGTCTGGTTATTATGCTGTTTGGAGGAGGCCTCACAGGTAAGAGCGCTAACTAGCTACCATCACATGTACCTTAGCTTGACTTAAATGTATTACACGTATAGTTAAGTGATATCAAAATATAAATAATTAATGTCATGCAAACATATTAATATTTGCTTGATTCCAGTGTTGAATTTAGCACAATTGCATACAAACGTTAAGGGGTTTTAAGATTCTGAAGTATTATGCTAAAAGCTCTAACTTATTATTTATAGTTTTGCTGAATAGTTTCATGTCCGCTTACCTTAGAAACGTAAAATGCGACGGCAGCGTGCAGATGGGGAGCATGTTAGCTTAGCTTGGTAGCTTCAGCTAGCTCTGGAACTTCCAGCTCGGTGGCAGCAGGTCCCGCCTCGGCTCCGCCTCTTTGCCCTTATTTGGAGCAGGCTGGAGAAGGCGGGAGTTGAACTCTGGCGTCACTGTCGAGCCGTTAGTGGCCGACTCCGCCTACTAAGGGCTTCACGGCAACTCTGCAGAATCCTATGGGTGACGTCACGGACCCTACGTCCATTTATATATACAGTCTATGCTACTAACCCATCATCCAAGGTTAGTTTTCACTATAAGTACAACATATTTTTTGGACGGACACTATACTTTACAGTTTTTTACCATGTTCAATCTGAATTTTCTTTAAAATAAAAAACATCTATATTGATTCTGACTTTTCTACATCCAACTCACAGGTTTATCATTACTTTGAGAAAAAATATTATTAATTTAACCCTGTTAGAAGGGAAGATATGGTCATTTGTTCTGGGAATGTCATTTTCGAGCCTGAGACCTGAAAAACAGGCTCAGGGCTTAACAGGTTAAATAAGTGTTAATTGTGGTAAGATTTTAAACCCTAAAACTCTACAGTTTCTCTAAATGTGTGTTTCCTGCAGACTTCCAGCAGCTGGTGGTGGTTAAAGAAGAGGTTCCCCCTGCTCAGCAGGAGTGGAGCTCCAGTCTGGATCGGGAGGACTCGGAGCCCCCCCAACACATTAAAGAGGAACAGGAGGAACTCTGGAGCAGTGAGGAGGGAGAGCAGCTTCAAGCGCTGGAGGAGGCTGATATCACCAAGTCCATATTCAATCCTGTCCCTGTGAAGAGTGAAGATGATGAAGAGAAACCTCAGTTCTCTCAGCTTCATCAAAGACAAACTGAACACCTGGAAACAGAAGCTGATGGAGAGGACTGTGGAGGACCAGAACCAGCCAGGAGCTCAGATCCAGAGAGACATTTACAACCAGAGACTGAGGACAACCCTGGAGACTCTTCTGAACCTGACACTGAAAACTCTTCTGAACCTGACACTGAAGACAGGGCTGATTTGAAGGAGACCAGAGAACCAGGTTCAAACTCTCAGAAAAATAAACAAGACCCTGTCTGTGATTCAAGACGTAGTGCAGGAGAGAAACCATTCAGCTGCTCAGTCTGTGAGAAAACTTTTGCACTGAGAGGAAATGTAAAGCAACACATGAGAATCCACACAGGAGAGAAACCATTCAGCTGCTCAATTTGTAAGAAATCTTTTGGACAGAGAGGACATTTAAAGTACCACATGAGAATCCACACAGGAGAGAACCCATTCATCTGCTCAATTTGTAAGAAATCTTTTGGACAGAAAGGAGATTTAAAGAAACACATGAGAATCCACACAGGAGAGAAACCATTCATCTGCTCAATTTGTAAGAAATCTTTTGGACAGAAAGGAGATTTAAAGAAACACATGAGAATCCACACAGGAGAGAAACCATTCAGCTGCTCAATTTGTAAGAAATCTTTTGGACAGAGAGGACATTTAAAATACCACATGAGAATCCACACAGGAGAGAAACCATTCAGCTGCAGTGTTTGTGACCAAAGATTCACCCGGAGATATCGGGTAAAACTTCATAAGTGTGTTGGTCGTCAGTCCTCACAGCTTTATCAAACTCAAACTGAGGAGAACAGAGAGGCAGAGCCTCCAGCCAGCATCTCAGCTGAACACCTGGAAACAGAAGCTGATGGAGAGGACTGTGGAGGACCAGAACCAGCCAGGAACTCAGATCCAGAGAGACATTTACAACCAGAGACTGAAGACAACCCTGGAGACTCTTCTGAACCTGACACTGAAGACAGTGATTATTGTTAGGTTCAAACTCTTTGAGTTAGTCCCAGTAAATGTGTATAACGCGATACCTGCTCGAAATGTGTTAAAACATCATTGCTCTAAGTGAAGTCTGAATGTGCATTAAAACAAATATTAAGCACAGAAACAAGTCCATTGTGCTCTAATGACACCAAAGTAACCAACACTTATGGCGACACTGACAGAGAACCAGAGCCAGCCAATAACATGACTTTAGCTTCTCCTGACCCTGAAATCAGTGGTGATTGGAAAGATCTGTTATTCCGGTTAAACACTCTGAACCAGTGGTTCTCAACTGGTCAGGCCTTGGGATGCACTTTTTTCCTTTGTCAATAAATCGCGACCCGACATTTGCTTATTTGCTTTTCAGCAGACAAAATCAATTAAAGTGAAGTACAGTGCATATATCCCTTATATCCCTTCACGGAACTAAAGTATGCTTTTAGGGTTAAAAAAAAAAGTTTAATGAGATGATGGAATCAAAGCTGAACTGTATAACATAAAAAGGCACACATGCTGAAAACCCAACCCCAGCAGGGGCCAATTTGTGGCCCCACGCAAAGTCATATGATGAGGCCCTCCGTGTCGCAGCGGCAAAACTGTGCCGCGCTTACACTAATTGCGCCGTATAACGGTGCGCTCAGTTGAGGGGCCCCCTCCGCAAGATGAGGCCCCCTCAGCGAGGTGAGGCCCCACGCAGTCTGCGTGATCTGCGTGTAGGAAGGGACGGCCCTGCATTCTGGTGCACTCTGAGATTAGGCTACTACCCGACATATTAATAATATTTGATGCCATTGTTTGTGTTTCACTTTGTTCTGAAGCTGAACTTGCTGCTCCTCACAGAGAGAAGAGTAAAGAGGAGATAGTCTGTGTGAATTACTTATTGTGGGTAAGAGTAGAGAGCCCCCATTGTACTGTGACCTGTCAATCATCAAACCGGGGCTCATATTTCATTATGTGTTCATTTGTATCTGAAGTTGTACCCATGGGTGTATCTGAGTGTGGGAAAATATTACACCTGAAAGACAGTCTGAAGAGACGTGAGAATTCACATGGGAGAAGCCATTTGGTTGCTCAGTTTGTGACCAAAAACATAGACATAAAAACCAAAGTGAATCTCCCTTTGAACAAGAAAAATCAACGGCTGATCTCTTATCGTTTAGTTGATATCACTAGCTAATGTGAGTTACATTTCATCCTGATGCTTTTGAAGAATCGTTGTTAATAAAGTGAACTCTTTTTGAAAAGGAAGGACTCGCTGTGTTAAAACTTCTTCCTGCTGTGTCCCACAAGCTGTTCAGCTGGGATCCGGCTCCGACCCGAAACACCCACACTATCTTACATTGCTGTTGGCGGCCCGCCCTGTAGCTCCTGGTGCACCACCACTTATTGCTGTTTAGCTAATAAACGTTAGCTATTGTTTAACCCCCTGTGGTCAGACAGTGCGGACCTGTGTCTACGGTCAGGCAGTGAGGGGAATTATAAAAAGATTGTTGTTGTGTTTTTTTAAGCAGACCCGGCAGCAGCTCCAAACAACTGTGACAGCTTAACCGTTAATTTAAAAGCTTAACAACTGTTTATTTTGTCAGTAAATTTTGATAAAGCTGGCGAGGCTATGCAAAGTAATAGCAATTACATTTAAACGGGAAGTACCAAGACATGTGGAAGTCTGCTTGAAATGATTTATTTGTTAATTACCTATTTTTGCCGTTGATTTCCATCCAGTGCTTATGTATAATTATTAATGTATTTCATATCAGTTATTATAGTATTATATGCCAAATAAACACATTTTATAATAACATAAAGGATCATCCTTCCTCCTCAGTCCACTGGAAGTATTTTTTATTTATTTAAACATGTTTGCTCTTTGTTCTTATGAATAATTATGAGTTACATTTTCAAAATATGCCAAAATAAAGATAGTACCAACCCATTTCACACATCTATATTCTGTGTTATGATTTTATGTTAATCTGTCAGTGAATCATTATTTAAATTAGTAGAGGCTACATCAGATACCCCTCTCTGCAGCTGGAGGTGTGTTTGTTTCTGTCCCGGGGCGTCCCTGTGCTGTCAGAAGGTTCCTCTCTGCAGCTGGAGGTGTGTTTGTTTCCGTCCCGGGGCGTCCCTGTGCTGTCAGAAGGTTCCTCTCTGCAGCTGGAGATGTTTTTGTTTCTGTCCCGGGGCGTCCCTGTGCTGTCAGAAGGTTCCTCTCTGCAGCTGGAGGTTAATTTGCTTCTGTCCTGGGGCGTCCCTGTGCTGTCAGAAGGTTCCTCTTTGCAGCAGGAGGTTCGTTTGCTTCTGTCCCGGGGCGTCCCTGTGCTGTCAGAAGGTTCCTCTCTGCAGCAGGAGGTGTGTTTGTTTCTGTCCCGGGGCGTCCCTGTGCTGTCAGAAGGTTCCTCTCTGCAGCTGGAGGTGTGTTTGTTTCTGTCCCGGGGCGTCCCTGTGCTGTCAGAAGGTTCCTCTCTGCAGCAGGAGGTGTGTTTGTTTCTGTCCCGGGGCGTCCCTGTGCTGTCAGAAGGTTCGTCTCTGCAGCAGAAGGTGTGGGTTGTTCCTGTCCCTCTGAGCAGTGGTCGTCCCACGGGTTGACCTACTCACAGTCTCCACCTGCCGACAAAAATAATAATATAGGTTCAACCTGGGTAAGGATGAAAATACGTATACAAATAATAATATTTAATAATATACAAACACTTGTGGTGACCACCTATTAATACACTGGGACATAATTCATACATGGAACTACAGTTGGGGCTATTGTTTCCACACGGACATATATGTGTTGTTATCTATATATGTTGTGTGCCCTCCTGAATCTTTCTCTTGTCGTCCCGGGCTGCGACCCAACAACATCTACATTTCTGCTGCTCATTAAAGCAAGCTTTGTACCTCCATTGCACCGCCTCCGACTCCCTATCTCTCGGCACTACACACTACAAATTAAAAATGTAATTAAAAAAACTGCGTAAAAACTTTACAAATATATTTTAAACAGTTGATAATAAAAGTTTAAACAATAAAACTAAATATATAACAAATGTATACAAAAATTAGAACCTAATATAAAAAAGACTAAAATTAGACATTTAAACATCACAAATAAATAATAAACATAAATATAAAATATATATAAACAATACAATTATACTTATATAAAAACGATCCATACACACTCCCAACTAAATATGTAAACATGGCTATAGACAGAAAAAAACATACATGTGATCAATACATAAACACTGGAAGTACATTTTCAATTTGAATAATAAAACTAAATATAAAGTCAATTATAATAAAATATATGAATAAAAAGAGAAATATAATATTTAAAAAAACCTAAAAGAATATATAAATATTCAAAATAAATATACAAACACTACAACTAAGCTAATGCATTTGCTAAATAAATATATTAAATATAAACAATTCAGTTCAGTTCTGAAGTCTTTACACTGATTCCTCACCAACACTAAGAAAGAGGATCAGTCCAGTTCTGAAGTCTTTACACTGGTTCCTCACTAACACTAAGAAAGTGGATCAGTACAGTTCTGAAGTCTTTACACTGGTTCCTCACTAACACTAAGAAAGTGGATCAGTACAGTTCTGAAGTCTTTACACTGGTTCCTCACTAACACTAAGAAAGAGGATCACATCACTGGAAGGAGGAGGAGGGAAAAGACACGCCGCAAGTCTGTCGACAGCCGGGATCATCAGCCGACCCCGAGAAAGACCCGGGACGCAGAATTCGTGGCCGGGCCGGTGCTTATATGTCCAACCTCCCTCATCCTCGGCACGATTGACGGAATCCAACCGGACCAGTGACCACAGATAACGGGTAAGATAAAAAGTTGATATACATGGTTTCTCCGCCATTTAAGGAGGTTGAGAAAGGTTTCTCCGCCGTTAAGGAGGTTGATAAAACGTTGATAGAGAAAGGCTACTCCGCCGTTAAGGAGGTTGATAAAACGTTGATAAAACGTTGATTGAGAAAGGTTTCTCCGCCGTTAAGGAGGTTGATAAAACGTTGATAGAGAGAAAGGTTTCTCCGCCGTTAAGGAGGTTGATAAAACGTTGATTGAGAAAGGTTTCTCCGCCGTTAAGGAGGTTGATAAAACGTTGATAGAGAAAGGCTACTCCGCCGTTAAGGAGGTTGATAAAACGTTGATTGAGAAAGGTTTCTCCGCCGTTAAGGAGGTTGATAAAACGTTGATAGAGAAAGGCTACTCCGCCGTTAAGGAGGTTGATAAAACGTTGATTGAGAAAGGTTTCTCCGCCGTTAAGGAGGTTGATAAAACGTTGATAGAGAAAGGCTACTCTGCCGTTAAGGAGGTTGATAAAACGTTGATAGAGAAAGGCTACTCCGCCTAGGAGGAGGATCGACGTGCCTTTGGGTACACTTATGAGTGATTGAGTGAAAGCAGTGTGTAAAAGTGTCACCAAGTGGAATCAGCGCACAGAGTGGAAACCTAACGGTGATAACAAAAACTCTGTGGTCTGTTGAAGTACACTAGTGGTGAATTAGGAATTAGGTTCTGACCGGCACGTTGTCCAGTAGGAACACCAAGCAGTAAGAGAATTAAGCGACAAATTGAGAGCGATAGTGGAAGAACACAAAGCGCAGGAACAAAGAATAAAAAGAAAGCCCCCCTTTTTTCTTCACAGCTTTCCTCTAATTGCTGAAGCAGCAGTATGACTGCTTGTGCTTCTTCTCAAAATGCCTCAAAAATGGCTGCTGAGCGTTGAATTTAAAACAAGGAGTGAATAATCAACGACTGGTCTGAAGTTGGAGTGAATAACATTGAAAATTAATAGATCAATGTGTCGTAGATATTTAAATAAATAAGAAACTATAATTTGTCGTTTTTAGCATAGTTTTTGTGGGATGCAGTTACGTCACATTGTGGTTTTCATGAGAAGTTTTGAGAACTGATTGTTACTATTGCATTGCATTGTGAATTTTGTGGTATTTGTCATTAGGTAGTTTTTGTAATATCATTAGTAGACATTAATTGTGTTTATGAAGAAAGAGTAAGTAAACAGGAGGGATCTGTTCATGTTTAAACATGACAGAGGTGCTGCACAAGGCTAAAAGCACACTGTTGGCTAAACACAGAGAGGTGATTGATGAGAGAAGCTTGTGCAGGAGCAGCTGCAGGGCACAGAGAGAGAGAGACAGGAGAAGTAGATGTTTTGAAGAGTTCAGAGAGAGTACAACTTATATAAAGTTAACTACTAGTCTGAAGAATGTTATATTGTTTTGTGAGTAAAACATGACATTTTAAGAACGCTTATGACAATTTTTGGCCACGAATGGGCCAGGGTAAAGGGAGATTTCACCGGGTCCTCGCCCAATGGAAACCCCCTGGAACCAGGTCAGCAGGACCTCATAAATGCACTCGCTCCCGTAAATATCTCAATCGAGAGGGTTTTTGCACTGAGACGAGACTTTACTAAAGTCTCAGGGTGTAGACAGGGAGAAAAAGAGTCAGTACAAGATTTCAGAATCAGAATGGAAGATTGTTTCCGTATCCATAGCGGAATTCCACCCAGCAATGCTGTTGACTCCCCATATGTGCAGCAGCTGAAACAAAGCCTGATGAATGGGTTCCACCCAGGTATTGCTGACTTTATCCGCAAGCATAATGTTAACCATAGGACATGCGACTTACAAGAGTGCCTAAATTATGCAGAACATGCAGCAACCCAGATCAAAGAAAAAAAACATAAGAAAGCGTCAGCATCAGCTTTCTTCATAGGAGAAGATGGGGAAGAAAATCAGATTTTCTTTGTGGGACCAGGACAGGGGAGAGGCGGGTTTAACAGAGGACGAGGGAATGATAGAGGAACAGGCAGAGGCAGAGGAGGAGGCAGAAACGCAGAAGGCAAATTCCTCTGCTACAGGTGCGGAAAGGAGGGGCACATGGCGAGAGACTGTGAGGAACAGAGACCACAGAACAAAGAAGGGGGACAAAAGGGACAGTACAAAGACGAAAGACATGGCCCCCCCCTTCACATAACCTACATAGTTATGACAACTGACTAGACGTAGAAAAGGAAGAAGAGGACGTCCACACACGTTAATGAACGGCCTTAAGCCAAATATGGCATGGTTCTCAGTGATAGACTTGAGCAATCCCTTTTTCTCCATTCCTGTAGAAAAAGACTCACAAGGATGGTTCGGGTTCACACATGAAGGAACAAAGTACACATACACCAGATTACCTCAGGGGTATGTGGATAGCCCAGCAATCTTTTCATGAGAAATAGCAAATTGTTTGGCTACATTACAGATACCTGACACATCGCAGATTTTGGTATATGTAGATGATATTCTTGTTGCGTCACCCACACAGGAAGAAAGCACAAAAGTCACACTACAAGTACTGACACATTTGGCCAAAACAGGAAACAAGGTTTCAAGACAGAAACTTCAGTTTGTGAAAGAGGAAGTGATCTTTTTAGGCCACAATTTAAACCGAGAAGGGAGACGCATACACACAGAGAGGAAAGTGTTTCACAACCAATACCTCTTGTGATATTAAGGGATATGCAGAACAACGCACCCGACAGAGAAAAGAAGAAATGGTTGACAGATGGTGCAACCACAGACCCTGAGGGAACATTCAGAATAAACAACAAGATAGTACTCCCTGTTAGTCTCTACAAAACAGCAGCTCATTTGAGTCATGGGCCGTGCCATGTCTCAACAGGAGGGAGATGGTGACAATAATAAATGAACACTTCCATACATACAACTATATTACATTTTCTAAAAACTTTTGTAGAGCCTGTGTAGTATGTTGCAGACAATACTCAAGGCAATGAGCGACCACAGAGAGGAAAGTAGAAACATGCATGAGAATCACACCCACGGCAAAAGGGTTGTCTCCCTTTGAGATCATAACAGGAAGGCAATTCAGACTACCAATCACAGACGAGGTGAGGGAGGAGGATGATGCTGAGGCAGAGACTACATTAGCTGAATGGATGAGCAGACTCTTCAGAAGCAATGAGATAGCTCGAACAAATAACCTGCCAGACATTTCTACTCCCTTACAGGATACCCGAGTGCAGACTGGTGACCAGGTCCTCGTGAAGGTGATTAAGAGGAAGCATTGGCACTGTCCACGGTGGGACGGCCCCTACACGGTACTGCTGACAACACCGACTGCACTAAAAATCGCCGAAAGAACTACGTGGATATATCAGAGCCACTGCAAAAAGATAATACCTCTCCAACTTAACGACGGATAAGTGGTGGAAGTCCGGCTACAAAGGGCGGTGTTTCATTAGGAAATACTGGTCTCAACCCCGGTGAAGAAAACAACAGAACCACTATCACAATTAGACTATGTTGGGAAAGGTGTTGTGTGTAGTGACCCTGCTGGGTCTGACGCTAATGACTATAAAGACACTGTAACCAGCTAGTAATTATGAAAAACAGGAGGGAATGTTAGAGTTTATTGAAGGATAAATGTGTTTTCATAATATGTTGTCATTTTATGTTGTAAAGAGACCATAGTCAGAAAAGAGGAACAGAGAATAGTCTGTTCCCCTTTTCTGTGGACCATACACACACACACACACACACTCACCCACATGATTGCGAGTCACAAGACTCCCATTGACAAATAAGCTGTTGGTTACATACACTTCCTCATGCATGATTTGTAACTGTTTGTTGAAATAAAAAGAGGGTGCCAAGGAGAAGGCGAGCAGAGTTGGTTCTCCTAGCTGAGAGTTGGTTCTCCTAGCTGAGGGCCGTTTCTCCTAGCTGGGAGTTGGTTAAGGAGTTGACATGACATGTCACTCGCTGATTCTCCTTGCAGCAAGTAAACTGGAAACATTAGTCCTGTTATCTTTGTTCACTGGGTTCTGGTTATTGAACCGAGCTGGGGTTTACTCTTACAAAGTAATATATAGATACCTCACATAAACCCATTATTATTACTGTAAAAATCTGAGTTTAATAAAGAATTGTTGATGAATTAGTCTCTGCGATTTTGCACGAATGTTTTTCTTCATTTTTTTAATAAAAAGAAACATAGCAACGTTATCTATCCATCTAGCTATCTCTCTCTCTCTTTATCTATCTATCTTATAATAGCACGGTGATACAGAGTGGGGTCACCCAAGAATGCGTGGGGATAGGCGTGTATATCCCAGAATTCAAAATATCAATCTCAAAACGAGTGTCAAATAACTTTTCAGTTTATACAGCAGAAATACTCACAGCAATTATTGGGCTACAATGGGTTGAAGAGGTCAGACCTGATAGGGTGGTGATATGCACAGACTCACTATCTGCTTTGGAAAGCATACAGTTGACAATAACTGTTAGAGAAGATTTAATCATTGAACGTAACCACTGCTTACTGAGACTTCGGAATCAGAAACAGGTTTATCACCAGGTGGGTTCACACATACGAGGAATTTGACTTGATGTCATGGTGCAGACATTACATATAAAACAAGAAATCTAATATAAAACAGAAAATATTTTCTCATTTGCGGAGCCTGTGAGAGATATAACCTACTATTCTTAAATGTGTCGGGATTTTGACTTCCGGTGAGGCACGAGGCTGTTGGCAGCAAGATACTGAGCGCTGAACAAAATCCCCCCTTTTTTCCTATTTATTGCAACTCATAGACAGTAATAACACACATTTGAGAAAAGAAATGTCTCCAGCAAAGAAGGAAAAGACTCCGACTAAAAAACAAGAATCTAACAGACAACAGCAAGCTAGCGATTCACCCACCGATATAGCTATGCTAATCAAGCAAGCTATCGCGGATGAGATGGAAACTCTGCAGGGAACAATAGCAGACATGCTAAAGGGTGCGATTGAGAAGGCTCTCAATCCTATAGAGAAGCACTTGGTCGAAAACGGCAACATCCTCCGGTCATTAAAAGAACAAGCTGATGGTCACGCAAAAAAGTTTGACAACGTTTTCAATAAGATTGAGAGCATTCAGGTTGCCGTGCGCAAGAATGAGAAGGAAACTAGCACGTGTATCATGGAGGTGACAAAGATGCGAAGGAAGCTCAATGAATTGGAGGACAGGTCCAGAATGAACAATGTAAGGATTGTCAACTTACCAACAGGTGTTGAGGGCGATGATCCCAGGGGTTACCTTCAAAAGATGCTGCCTATCTGGATACCTTCAATCAAGAGCCCCAACAATAATCCACTGGAAATCGATAGGGCACATCGTATTTTCTCCAACAACACCTCAAGATCGCGGACCATGGTTCTCAAACTACTACGCTATACCGACAGACAGGCCATTCTTGAAGGCGCGAGGAAAGCTAGACCGACTCTCCAAGACGGGACACAGCTGTTGTTCTTCGCCGATTACAGCCCCGGTACGACACAGGAGCGACAGGAATACAAGGAGATCCGCACTAAACTTCGACAGAAGGGGATCGACTCGTTCATCATATACCCGGCCATTCTGAAAGTGAACAACAAGGGCACGAGGATGTCATTTAACTCGGCAGAAGAGGCGAGAGAAGCCCTTAAA